TTCAGGCTGCTCTCATTATCTACTCTCCAGACTTCACAAAGTTGTATGCAACTATGGAAACTGTACACCCTGAATACAATCTATCGAGATATGGGAAGTATTGCGGAATACCGGACGTGAAGAATTACTATGTACTGTATTTTTTTGTGGTTGTATGCAGCATCGGTGTGTTATCCTATGTCGTCATGATCATCACTGGTTTGAAGGTTTGTGGCGAAGAACACTAGCAGCTTGACGACATAACAAAAACATTGTTTATGACACATTATCCAAAATAGCCAGGTGGTTGGAAGGGTACATACCCCTTGCGATTTTTTGAAGATCGTTCAAAATCCAATCCAATCTGTCCTTTTTTGACTTTTAGTGAGAAGAAGTCACCTCCTTATAATCGGTCTTACACGGCAAGTAACCGCATGGGTAAAACTGTCTTCAAAAAACTGCTGAGAAATTGCGGAGTCCGGCCTATTCCATAGAGAAAGTTCATCGCGGGGACAATCCACAATGATCTTCACTGAAAGGGGTAGGACAAAGATACAACTCGAATTTTTCTTCAATTTTTGAGAATAACGGTCGAAACCATGAAAGAGTCAGCTCAGACTTGAGTATTTTGATGAAGGAAACTTCCAAATGTGGTACTTGGGTTTCAGGATTTCAAACTTTAACAGCTATATTTTCTGTGAGAGCAAATTTTGTTATAAACTTTGCTGGAATTTAGATCAGAAGGTATGTGCTGTCAGTTCACTCAAACATGTCCCCAAAAACCACCAAGACATTCAACATGATGATAAAGGTTAGTTTTGAAGGTTCGACTTCAAGTTTTCTCCATTCGGCTTGCACTGCAAAAGTAGCCTTTTCTTCAATGGACATCCGTGTTCGCAGTAGTTCAGACGAGAACTAATCTGAAGCCATCTGATCGGCCTTGAGACCGAAGTTCTGTAAATTAAAATAGTTTGAAAGGTTGTGCCCTTCACGGAAGGGTCATGTTGCAAGTTAGCTGAAACGCTTACTTTGTAAGCTCTCCATTCCTCAACGTTTGTTTCCGGTAGTCAGCATCTTTGAATACTGTTGGATTTCCTGAAAAGATCAGTGCCTGAGATTAATCCGCAGCTACCTAAAGAACCCATTAAGTTAAAACTGTGCAAAAAAACTGATCAGTCCTCCACACTCAATTTTTCATATCACCCTTATGTTGGTGGTTCCCAACTTCTTCACGAAATATCCTAACCTACTCCACTTTCAGGCACTTGTGATTCAATCGTGTATGCCGATATTGTTCTCGTTTCCAACGAAAGTTCTATATTTTCTAATGCAATTTGGTTCATTTGAATCGTTGATTGCTGAGTATTTGGTGTTTTTGGTGTCACCGATGATTGTCGTTGTCGATCCATGTGTAACAATGTACTACGTACTGCCTTATAGGAGCTATATTTTGAAAAAGCTCAGACTTGATAGGTCTAAGCAATTCCCTCATGACATCAGCGTGCAGCCGACGTTGTCATCTCGCACTTCCAAGAATGTTTTTTCAAGGATTAGAGCATAGCAGTCATTCCCAGTGTTAGGAAAATGCTTCAGATAAACCATCACTTTTCCTTTTTTCCACACCAGGAAGAGTAGGCTATCTGTCTGGCGCAAAGGCTAGTGGCAGCTTTGGGCTGCATACGTACATGCGATCCGATTCTCGCCATCTTTCTGTGGATGACGATAATAAACGTAAGAAGACTATTCGCTAGACAATAACAACTGCATGAAGTCATTTGACATAAACAATGGTCTTAATATGGTCTAAAAATCACTTTCAAAATGTCCATCTGAGCGAATACAGTACGTCAACATATTTATTAATGAGGCATACCCACAAATGACGTTTCGATCAACTGGCATGAGTTGTGACGAAAGCTTCGTTGACAACATGGGCTGGCTTCTTGAGTTCGTTGAAATTACTCTGAAGCTTCTGGGAATTCGCCGAACTAAGTAACATTCGGATAAAACCGAAAATAGCAACTATTCAATCGAGCATGAAAGAAGATCTCGACAATTTCGGGAAAAATACTTCAAATAACTTCATTGTATAAGAAGAGAATAACCCTCATAAAGGAGTTCGGAGCCCTCAAACCATTCTTCCCTAGGAGATAACATGAATCTTTGAAATATTTCTCCCAGGACCTAATTGTGGACCAACTAGTATGATTACTAGAGCAGTGTCGATGAACGTGAACATAGTGCGGTGATAGGGATTTTAAGCGCCTGCGCCTGTGTCACAAGCTGACTGGAACCTGCCACCTGGCCGAAAGATCGGATTTGGGTTGGATCGGGCGGAGCCAATGAACTCGTGGCGGTACAGCCTTTTTTCTTTGATTACTGCTGCTCTTTTTACACTGAATGATCAACATTTCTGATTAGCTGTCGGTCACAAAATCTATCAAAGCATATTCTGAAAACCTAAATATTAAAAAATCCAACACGAATTGGTCGACAAAAATAGTCTCGACTACTAGCAGTCAGAAACTGCCACCTACCGACAATAGGAGGAAAGATGCTCCTCGTAGAAGAAAACGCGCTAATGTGGACTTTTACATAAGGGCCTAGAACATCATTGGGCGCTTTCAGAGTACAGCGTCAAGCGTCTTTGACGGGAGGGTGTCAAGGTGGAGAGCCAATACTCTGCGCTCCTGCGTTTATGTGATGCTACTGCGACTACGATGGCGCACAGATCTATTGGGTCGTGTCAGCGTCCTAATAGTTCTGTGCGCCAATGGTGTTTGCGTTGGAGCAGTTATTTTCTCGCTGAGCTGCTAAGAGCTTTTGTTAAAAAACTACAATCTCGTCACTTCATAACTCAGTAGTGAAAACAAATGAAAAACATGACCATATGCCAAAAAGAACAGAGTAAAAGTGGAAAATGCAACTGTAACAACCTCAAGCAAAAACATACCGCCACCTCCTACGCGTGCGGTATCGACCGGCAACAGGAAGCGACGGAGCCATTACGACAGAGCCACTATATATTTGACACCCTATTCTAAAAGATGTCCTTGACCTTTCCATTTTCTTAGCTACTCATTTGTGAATATTAGAGAGAAGTGAAGAAGTCGGAGAACATAGAGCTCCGCGCTCATCTTTTCAATAATGCGGTCCCGCTTTAATATAATCTTCGAAGACTTGGACTTCACAAAAGCGGGACAAACATGCAGTCAGGGACACACAACCCGACTGGAAACAACAATGCTCGGAATTCCCCTATACGCCCAAGCGCAGAAGGAGTTCGGAGTCCTGAGCCCGATCAGAGAACGAAGAACAGGGAGGAAAAGAGACGAGCGAGGTTGTTTACGCCAAAAAACCAAAAATCAAGTGGGCCGAACACGTCATGCGATACTGTGACCACGGTTGGACGAGGGAAGTTACTGCATACTAAATCTCTGCACGTCCAACGAATTTGGACCACTCTGGTTTGTAACAGGGACGAATGGAGACGCTACAGACGTCCTTTCGAGGAAATCGATGATCAACGGGACGACGAGTATAAAAGGTGATGCAGGCGATTATCTGAGCTCAGAGAGATAGGCTGGCAAAACATTGTATTGACAGTAAGACACTACGATCCAAGTAAAACCGGGATGAGGCCGACGA